TTTTTTTATTAGTTTCATTCATTTATATACTACCCCATTAGTGTAATACATTATTCTGGGCAGTTGGAATAAATGTGGTAAATGTGTTTCCTTCCCTTAGATGGTGTTCTCCAAACATGCTAGACAGCAATTCCCATCACACTAGTCAGCACAGTTGCTTGCAAAGGATGATAAGAAATGTTGCCCAACACATTTCCTGGGGAAGGCTGGCTTAGGGGACCTACATATTTAACATCTCATATAGATAATTATCTTGTGGCTCATGCCACGTAGACACATCTAACTGCTTCTATCCACAGCTTTCAATTTTCCTCATGTAAATCTTGCTCTCCCCCCAGCTTAAGGAAACACTGTTTCACATGTTTTCATTAATTAGTGTCATAACAGGGGGGACTGGGGGGGAAAAGCAAGTAGTTAAAACCCTTCTTCGTATTCTTGAACTTACAATACTGTACAGTCCAACATTTCTTAAGTCTATTTTAAGAGCAGCTAAGGAACTAATTATACATCTTCCACATCTACTTTAGTCTTTAGATAGACAGTAGTATCGCTGGTGTATGGCAGTACAGGCGGGGATAAGATAGGATGATAGCATGGAGCTGTTGTATACCACATCTTGGAATGATTTTCTGGATCTCCAGTGTGACACTTGAGTGATTAAAGGTAAAGGTTCCCCTTGACAATTTTTGTCCAGTCGTGATCGCCTCTAGGGGGCCGTTTCCAAGCCATAGAGCCAGCATTTTGTCCGAAGACAATCTTCCGTGGTCACATGGCCAGTGCGACTTAGACACGGCATGCTGTTACCTTCCCACCGAGGTGGTCCCTAGTGATCTACTTGCATTTGCACGCTTTCGAACCGCTAGGTTGGTGGGAGCTGGGACAAGTGACGGGAGCTCACTCCATCACGTGGATTCGATCTTGCGACTGCTGGTCTTCTGACCCTGCAGCACAGGCTTCTGCGGTTTCTCCCACAGTGCCACCACGTCCCTGGTGAGTGATTAAAGTTGCCATTTATTTTGCTGCTGGCCTTGTCACTGTGCTTTAATGGCAGCCTGACCCACAACAAAAGTTTCTCTTTAAACCAGGAAAACTGTTATATACTTGTCCTGCCTGCCCCTCCTAGTGCATTGAAGCTGAGTCAGCCATCCTGTCCAGCTTCAAAGCACTGAGGAGGGAGAAAGGGAGGGCAACACGGCAAGTCGCAGTGCTGTTGCCACTGATAGAACATGAATGGGTGGTAGATAAAGAATTTAAGGCCCAGCCCTTTGGGAGAAATAGTCTATCATTTTGATACACACCCTACACAGAGCATGTGCCAGGGCACCCTGCATTTTGCAGGAGACTGTGCTTTTTGAACAAGACATTCCACTGACACAATTAGCAAAGCAGAAATGATATTTGGTGCATACTGCTGCAGTCCATCATACGCATGCTTCTAAGCACAAAGCAAATTTGCATTTACAAGATTTCATGCAGATATAACTTTTGCCATGGACATTTGTTCTGTTGCCACAACAGACACATACAAGCCTAACATGCCTACCCCCCCCCCACAAACACACTCGTCAGGACTAATAAAATGGCCCAGTAGTGCAGATGTTCCCTGGAAATATTTTGGGGCAGTTTTTTTTTTCTAGCACAGAACATGAGAGCTGACAGAATCAAGATCTGCCAAATACTGTGAACATTGAACACCGGGTTATGTCATGAGATGGTGTGAAAAATGCCAGCAGAGCATTTAGAGCAAGGCTCCCTGAGGCTGCAAACACAACCATGCTCATCTGATCTTAGCAACAGTGGGATATTTTTAGAAATCATCCCTATTGTACAAAAGCCTGAAGCATGCTGCCTTTCCAGTGCCTCTTAGATAAGGCAGCTTAGTAGGACTTTCCCTGGCAAGTTTAAATTCCCCTCATATGCTTCTGAAGTAGCTCCATGCAAAGCCACTTTCACCTCCAAACCCTTTGAGGCATTGAAAGTAAGGCCCTGGTCACAAGAGGGAAATGTTATCCCCCGGGTAGATCGTTGCTTTTTCTCCTGGTCATACAACTCACAGTCAAGATCGAAACATTTTCCCAGCCAGTGGTGTAACTGCAATTTACTTTCCACTCCCTGGGAGGGCTGTTATTTTGTATCTCTGTTGTATCGGTGCATTCCTTAGCAGAATTGTCTGTGTGCACAACCTGCAACGCTTCTTTTCAGAATCGAAGCTAGAAAGGTGGCCGCCATTATTGTGCTGCACTTTAATACACACACACACACACACACACTGCCATTATTGTGCTGCACTTTAATTACATTATATATATAGATAGGCAGGGTATAAATACAATAAATAAATACATTGATAAAAGTATGTATGCCATAGAACAATTTGAGCGATTGCTACAGTACCACCATTGTGAGGAGACAGTTGCAAGGTGGGGGCAGGGAGTGCAGAGGGGAAAAGGACATGGCAGATTAATCTGAAAGGCAGATGAGATTCTGCAGGAGCAGCCACCTCTACAGAGGACATATTCTCAAACCGAAACCCCTTCCCAATAGAGTACATAGAGGTATGGAAGGTATTGGAAGAACTAGAGAACTTTTCCCTTGTGTGACCAGGGCCTTAGTCATCCTGAAAACTGTGCTTGAAATCAACAGGATCACTCTAAAGATAACGCTTCCAAAACTTACAGTACAGCCCACCTGTAGTGCTTCCAGTCCAGATCCACAACAATCTTACCTTCACCAATCTGCCTCCGATTTATTCTGTCCATGTCTATCCACCAAACTTGTTCCTAGCTCTTACCAGGTTTTGAAGATGAGAACGAAGTTTAAAATTTGATGAGGAATGGGGCAAACAGAAATTCAGGTTTACCCTTGGTGATTTCAAAACATGTTTTATGATACTTCAGCTACTGTTCCAGAGACTGTTGTGGTGCCATAGCTAAAGTAGACTTCATTACAGCTATGCAAAGGATCCAGAATTGCCTCAAAGGCCTATTAGATCCTGTCTACAATACTACCAGGAACTACCTTTCAGTTCCCCACCCTGAAAATAAACATAAGCATTGTCAGGACTCTGCAAGACTTACCAGGAAGCTACCTTTCAGTTCCACGTTAATGATTCCCCACCCTGAAAATAAACACTTATAAGCATTGTCAGGACTCTGCAAGACTTGCATGCTGTTCTTCTGCTGAGAAGCTGGTCACATGGCAGCTCATGCAACAAGTACCTCACCAGATAACTTCCATGACTTCAATTCCATGTCCAGTAAAGATGCAAATGATGCTGGCATATGTATCTATTGCTTTCCAGTGAAAAAGGCATTTCTCTCAAAATACTAAGATGAGAAGAAATGGTTAGGCAGCTTCTATAAAGAACACAAGTTACAATTTTCCCCATAGAATTAAGAACCCTTGCATTGTTTATGTATTTCCATTCAATGTTCTGATTTTCTTATCCTGTGCAACCAAAAAGAACTAATAAATCACATATTTTCAGTATGTTTTCAAGTGTCTGTCTCCCTACAGTAAATGCTACCTGGCTTCACTGCCATCTCAACAGATAGGTAATTAGTTGTAACTAGTAATATGTATAAATGCAGTTGCATCATTTCCCATATTTTTACTGGAATACATATTGATCTTGGAAACCTTGATACAGTACTTTGTTGCAGAAAAGCTGACATCAGAAAGTTCCTTTTATTCGAATGCTAGTGCTTCTTAGAACACCCAGTGAAGTCATCTGCTCCAAGATTTTGCAAAATTTGTGAGCAAAGTATGACAGTACTAAAGTTACTTTCATTGACCTTAAAACTGCCCACCAGCACCTTAAAACATTGGCTTTGATGTAAATTACTAAATGTCAAAGGAAATATACAAGAATCAGCTTCACTTCTGTATCTTGTTTACTGACAGAATACTGCAGAGACTGATTTTGTCACAAAGCAAATGGGGAAATATTTCCCAACTCACTACATCGTTGTCCAAACAGGTTTTTGTTTTTTCCACAAAGACTCACTAGCTTTAACCTAACATGGTTTACTTGAAAAGTTATTTTCTTCTCCTAGCAAGTGCATCACCTTCAAAAATAAAGGTTGAGCTAGATTCAGCTGCTCATGCAAGGTCTGACAGGGACAAAAAAAAACCCATCAGTTAAAGCTGATCATTCACCTCCTCCGATAGGCCAAATAATAACAGAACCTTTCTCAGTAATAAAATATGAGTGTAGGTTTTTGTTTTGTTTTTTGAGGTGAGGAAAACTACCAAGCCTTGGAAAATCCCATAGCTGCAGTTTTAAAAGGACACACCTGTTGAAGCACGGAAAAAGAACACTCAGCAGCCTTCATCTAGATTAGCTAAACTGACTGTTCAGTCTCCATACAGCACAGCAAAATTTCACTGCTTTAATAAGATCTCACCCTGTTTGAGTTTCATTTTCATAACATTTGCAACATAAAGTACTAAAGCTGAATCACTACTGAAATGTGTGTGTAAATAACTTGAGTTTGTGAAGTAAGGACCTAACTGTCCATATTATATCAATACAGTCTACATGACCAATGCAGATGTATGTTACCAGAACAGGGGAATGAGAATGATATATTATTGTCAACTAGGTAACAGAAATTTCCCCCTCTGGCCTTAAACTGTTGCAATTGCACAATTAGTGCTTCTGACTGTCATTGAAATATACCTTAAACTTATGCATCTAGGGAAAACTGTAACCTCCATTTCTTTTCTGCATATATACGTGCAGCACTGAAGGAAGGAAACACCATTATTAGTCTTTTCATATTCCGCTGTGTACACGGGGCCTCAGATGGAAACAGCAGCCATAAAAAATGTTGCTGCTCTATGACAAAGCTACAGAAAATTAACACATCTTTTATAGTAGTTCAAGTGTTCCACAAGATTATTCTTTTTTGTATTGAAAACTCTCCTGAACGATAATCATACATGCAACACACAAATGTTTGTAAAATTAATCTCTAGTGAACATACAGAAGATAATGCAAATTGCCATTAAATCTTTAATAAGATACCTGTGATTTTTTTAAAACATTGTCACATTTTACAAATCGCACGTGAATAAAGAGTTCAGTTTCATGCAGACAGTTCTGATAAAAAGCAAGATCCGAACAGTAAAATGTTGTCAACTTGTCATCAACTACTCATGTGGAGTAGAGTTGACTGAGAAGTTATCCATGTTTCTATAAATATAGACATTAAGTGACTTATAGTGTCACTAGTGCAGGTACATATAACCACCGTACAAAAGCTCCACTGGAAGCTACTTAATTTTTTTCAAAAAAGGACCAGGATTTCATTACTTCTTTTTTTAAAAGCTGTCACTTTCAGTATTGAGAAACACTAAAGTGCATTTTTGTTACCCTCTAAGCAGTTTCTGGCTATAAAATTTGCTTTTATACAACTTATATTTCCTGACATTCAGTATTGTGGTTATAGGGAGAGATAATCTGGCTAATAGGCATTAGAACACACAAACTTTGTTTGTTGTGCCAAGGGGAGGACAACCCTTTTAAGCCTTCTCCCTTGTTCTCCATGGAATTATTATATTTCACAGCACCATTAGAGTAACACAGGCTTTACTTTAGCCCTTTAACTTGCTACTTAAATTGACCATTTTTTTAAAAAAAATGTACCAATGAGAAAAAAAGCCTCTTTCCAGCATACAAATTCCCACCATTTCAGTTAACACTGTTTGCATAACTATAAACAAGAAATGCTTACAGTATGATTAGACAGATCATCTTTAAACTCTTTGTGTTTCCCACAGTGTAAAAGTTTTCAAGTGTATAAAGCCTCAATACATTCCTAAGAATACTGTGAGTATAATAAGAATACCTCATAATACATTTAAACAGCTTTGGGTACATGGGACTTGTTGCTCTGCTTCTTTAAGCTTGATTTAAAATGAATTCTGATCAAATTTTATTGCCATCTATTTCATTTAAAGGTAATATTGCACTATAAGTATCCTGAAACCCAAGTCCCTTATGGTAGTAATTAACTTTTGTCTAATTGTTTGGTGTTTTCTTGGAAAGCAATCTTTCTAGAATATGTCTCCTGGGACAAACAAGTATGGTCCAGACCTGATTAGCACTGCTTAACGATGCACAGCTATTTCTAAAGAACCCCTACACACCAAGACATGCTACATTATCAGGAAACTCATCCATGCTCTTACATATTCCATACTTTTTCCTCTAACAAGCTTCAGATAACATGAGTATCACAGTAGTGATATTTCAAATCTGAGCACCAAGTGTTATTTTAAGAAAACCAGTTTAAAAGCATACCACACAGCCAACCTTTCATTTTAAAATCCTCTGCATTCACCGCTTCCTTAAATAATGGTTTTCTAGCTCCATATATGTTTAAAAGATACTATTTTAAAGCTGTATATCTTCATCTAAACACTCCACTTATACAGGCAGTAGCTGAATAACACTGAATGCCATAAATGCAATTGCCTTGCAAAGGCACTCTCAAACATGACTACACCACCAAGCAGAACACTCTTCATTGTTTTTTGGGTTTTTTTGGCTATTTAGACATCCAGGTCACATTTACCCACCCATCTGTTTCCTGACTATTTTGTACTATGTAACAAGGGACCTATTTTGTCTTGGTTTTTTAAAAAAACAAAACTGTAGTGCCCAAAGATTTTGTGGGGAAACCAAGTAAAAGGTCTGTGTCTGCAAAGCTTCCAACCAGGCCAACTGTTTATTAGACAAGCTGTACAGGATCCAAACAAGCAGGCCAGGTGCTGGAAACGATTTTAGTCAAATGCCAAGGAGGAATTGCCCCACGTGGTCACAGCAGCTCATCTCTTCTTTTTTTGCTGCCTTAGCATTTTCCTTCGCTTAATTATCATATCATGCAGTTTCTCCAGTCCCTCTTTGAGGCCGTCTCCTATAATGGCACAGGTGGGCTGCAAGTGCCAAGGAGTGGAAGAGCTCAGCTCACTGGTGGCCAACATTTTTTCCATCTCTGAGAGCGACAATGAATGTCTCAAGTCCTGCTTGTTGGCCACAATGAGCACAGGCACCCCCTGGTTCTCCGAGATCCTCGTGATTTTGTGCAGTTCTGTTTTAGCTTCTTCCATTCTTTCCACGTCTACAGAATCCACCACGAAGACGATGCCGTCTGTACAGCGGGTGTAGGACTTCCAGAGGGGCCGCAACTTCTCCTGGCCTCCGACGTCCCAGAAGTGGAAAGTGACCGTTTTGTTGTTGCCCAGAGTAACCTTGATCTTCTCGGTGTTGAAACCTTTGGTGGGGACGGTGTTGACAAACTCGTTGAATTGTAGCCGGTAGAGGACGGTGGTCTTGCCAGCGCAATCCAACCCCAGGATCACGATGTGGAAGCACTGGAAGGAAGGAAGGCTCGACAGAATCGGCGTCTGCTCCGACAACCCATTTCCCATCGCAGGGGAGGGGCTCAAGGCGAGCAGGGGGCACCAGTCGCCCGCCGCCGCCTCAAGCCGCCACCACCCGCCGCCGCCGGTGCCGCTGGTCTGAGAATCCCAGTCGCGAATCCTTCTCGACTACGAAACAAACGCAGGGGCAGGTCCAGAGGACGACCGCGGAGCTGAGTGGGGAGAGAAAGCAGGACGTGTACGGTAGGCAAGCCGTGCCAAAGAGGCGTCCACCACCCCCTTAGCGAACCACCGCCGCCGCCTCCGCTTCCCGCAGATGCTCCCGCATGGCTCCCTTCCCCGCTGCAGCAAAAGAGTGCCAGCGCCTGGAACCGGGCCGCGCCTCCTCCTAATTCATTTCACCCGGCGCTCTTCCCGCCCCCTTTTCGCAGAGCTAGCCTCTCACTGGACAAAGATATTGCGGTGGGTGGGCCTTAAGGCGGGGCAAGAGCAGAGAGGGCCCTCATGCTTCCTCTGCCCTCATTGGCTATACCAACCGCCGTTCAATCAGGTTATACCCGCTGTTCCCGCCCCATTGGTCAGGACGAAGCTGCGGGAAGGCGGGCGGAACGAAAGGTTTCTTTTTCCCTTCTCTTTGCCCTCGTGGAAGAAACATACGGCAACGCCCGACTCCCTTTTAAACCTCTGAAGTAAAAAAAAGGAGTTACCACCTCGTCCCTGTTCACGTTCTTCCTCTCGCCCTCCCTCAATTCCCACCCTCGTTTTTTTTCTTTCTGACAGAAGCCACAACTCCCTGTCTCTATTCAGAGCAGAAGCGTCTGGCGCCCCCTACCTTTTAGGGCCACCACAAGCCACGCACTGGCTTTTCTTCCCGCTACTCCTCCTACCTGTGACCGCAAAGCAGTGCGCCTCTCTGGACATGTTCTTCTCTAAAACAGCCGTCGTTTTCCTCTGTACCGAACAAGGAGGATCAGGGGCCGCGCTCACACGACTTCGACCCACGAAGAGAAAGACGAACCGTCGGACCGACTCCCGCTGTAATCCAAGCTCGCCGTTCCCTCTTCTGCCTCAAGCGTCCGGACGGGGCCGAACGGCATAATAACGGAAGGTCCTCCCCCATTGGTCCCCGAGTAGACTCGTATCCTAGCAACCCGGTTCGAATAACGCCCTCGAGGCAAACTGTCAGTTTGCCAAAAGCCCCGCCTCTCCGCGATAAAACGCCGTATCCATGATCGCCACGCCCTTCTCGAGGTGTTCCCTGAGGTCGTTCCATGAAACGTCCAGCGCCCTCAGCGGTTGTGTCACGCCACGTGAGCCGTCACCTCGTAGGCCGCGTGTCTGTGGCTCCTGGCTTGTCCGGCCTCTAGGCCACGCCCCCTCTCTCGCTACCACAGCTGTTGTCAGGCGCGCTCTTTTTCCTTTTAGCCTGTGGAGATTTTCGCGCCCTTTCTGCTGTGTAATCCTCCTAGGCGTGATAGGGGTCGCCTCAGCAGCTCGGGATTATTCGTTGGGAAACAGGGACTAAAGAAATGAGGCAAACTGGTTATCCCATTCCCAAGTGGCAGGCTTCAGTAGAGTGGGGGGGGGGG